GAATATTCCCGATAGGCCCTAACACTGAACCCGGCAGGACCAGGTGGGTTTACAGAATATTTCAATTGAGACATGAAGTCTTTAAGACACCCTCCCCAACGCTGATAAAACCTTGCAGGATTCTCTGACTTTCCCCACTAGGAGTTAAGGGCCTCTGGGGATGCTGGCCACGTTGCTATAGCTCAGCATCACGTCTTTTCCTGTTTTCTGAGTCTCTACAGACTCTCCCCGGGGCCTCGAGAGTCCAGCCCAAACGATCCACCCTAGCCTTTGAGACCTTTGCCCTTCTCACAGCGGGTCTGGGGAGCTGGGGTGGAGTTGGGGTGGAGCTAGACAACACGGAGATATGAAGGAGAAACAGTTGTTGATTCTGGGAGTAATAGCTTCTCATTTAATCGTTGACTCGCCCCTGGTATTGTTGAGAACCGTTCTGTGCCAGGCCCTGGGGATACAGCCATGAATAGAGCATGGTCTCCACCCTGGAAGAAAGGGGACGTGTAAGCAGATAATCGGAATATCGTGTGATACAAGAGGCAGACGCTGGGATTGTCGGGGACAAGACAAGGGCGTTCCATACAGAGGGAGCACCCCGGGCAAAGCCATGGAATGGGACGGTACGACCAGAGAACAGCGAGGAGAGCGCGCTTGAGACGCGGAACGAGTGCGAAGGAGAGCGGCGGGGCTGGTCTAAGTGAGGATTTGGGCTGATCCCCAGCAAAAATTAAATCTCACGCTGGCTTGGCCCTGCGGCGCATGTCGGGGCCAGACCTGCCTGCTTTCAACACCAGATCTCATTTCTTTAGTGGCTTGAGCCAATCAGAATCAGGAGACATTTACACACACACACACACACACACACACACACACCAAAGGACATGTTAAAGCCAAGCGTTAGTGGGTTTTGGACCTACGCCCTCTCCCCAATCAACGACTAACTGGATTCCATCCCTACCAACACCTCCTTCCCGCTCACACCAATAGGAGCGGGACTGGTTGGTGAAGTTTAACTTCCTGGGAAACAATTCTAGGGCAGGACTTTGGGTCTCCCTAACTTGAGACGTGACTAACTTGAGACATGAGAAGCTTGGCTACATGTATGTACCAGATCTGACTGTGCCTCCGTGGGTGTATGGATGGGTAGACATGTGTGTGAGCACATGCGCCCCTCCAGAGACGTGTGTGAATCGGTTGCCTTGAAGTCTCAGGAGATAGAGTCCCAGTTCCTTGTCAGAGAAAGAGGGATAGACTGTCCCATGGATGCCCCTCTGGAATTCATATGAGAAACTTCCTCGAGGCTCAGAAAATGAGGTGGCTTTAACGCATTACTTCAACTTCTCTCACATTTCCTATTGAGAGGTAGGTCTGTGTTATCGCCCCTGGAATTGGGGCTACTTTGACCAGTAGGATATGGTGGAAGTGATGCTCTGTGGCTTCCATGTCTGGGCCACCAAAGCCCATGCAGCGTCAACCTCGTTCAGTGGAACCCTTGCCCTTCGAGCTGCCTGAGCTGCCATGTGAGAGGTCAGACTACCCTGAGGCCGCCATGCTAGAGAGGCCACTCGTAGGTGCTCTGGTTAATGGTTTTAGCTGAATCCAGCCATTTAGCCATTCCCGTTAACACGCCAGACGTGTGGATGGAATCATCCCGAATCCTCCAGACCAGGCCATCCATTCGCCGAATCCTCAGATATCCTCAGTCTTGCCTGTGGAACAAAAGGACCACCCGCTCAAGCCCCACCCAAATCCCTGAGCCATAAAACTGTGGGCTACAATAAACTGGCTGTTGTTTTAAGCTACTGAATGTTAGGATATGTTGTTATCAGTGATAGACAACTGAAATGAGTGGAACTAGGAATAGTTAAGTTTAAGAAGGACTTGCTATGTATCTGGCGCTGTTCTAAGTTGTTGACATGTATGAACTCATCGATCCCAAAGAAGAGGATGCAGCAGCTAGAGCAGGGAAGTCATTTTTTCTAGGAAACAGCCTAACAGGGTGATCGCTTGAACTCGGGCAATCTAACACCAGAGCCCGTGCCCTAAACCCTTCCCTTAGACTGTGGAACAATAGAGAGTAAAAGGATCTTTTTCAAAAAAAGATTTTATCTATTTATTTTTAGAGAGAAGGGGAGGCAGGGAGGAAGAGAGGGATGTGTGATCAGCTGCCTATCCACTACCTCTCGCAGGCCCCCAACTGGGGACGTGCACACAACCCAGGCGTGTGCCCTGACTAGGAATCGAACTGGTGACCTTTCGGTTCAAGGCCAGCACTCAGTCCACTGAACCACACAATCCAGTGCTAAATGTTTGCTATTGAAAACTACTAAGTTTTAGGGTCATTCTTTACCTAGCAATAGATAGCTAATACACTGCATTTTGAGGAAAGTTGGGGGGTATAAAGAATGTATACATCAAGTAAGAAATAAATATAAGAAAACCCTTTTCTCAACCCATTTATCCATTTGTTCACTGGTTCTTTCAACATGCTTTTATGCCCCAGGGATACAAAGACTAATGATGCCATTGCTGACACTGAGGAGCTTTCAGTCTAGTGGGAGATGCAAACTTGTAAATGGGTTATTAAAATTTTAGTGAAGAAATGCTAATGGAGGAAGGTTCAAGATGCCAGAGCAGCACAAAAGAGGAATAAAATAATTCTGCCTGCTGGAGATAGGAGTAAAACTTCACAGAGAGGATATTCAACTTGGGTTCTGAAGAATGACTAGGAGTTTGCCAGGCACACAATGGGAGGAAGGGCGTTCCAGGTGGGAGGAGCTGCGTGTACACAGCCTGAGCGGCTAAGAAAGCCTGATGTGCCTGGGGACTTACAGGACATCCCATTGGTTGGATCTCAGAGCACTAGGTTGCAGGGGAGGCTGTCAAGGTAGGCTGACCATGCAGTCGAGGTGCTTCTGGCTTCTATCCCAGTGAAAATAAAGAGGAGGTGGTTTTTAAGCCCATGAGTGTATAGTAAGATTTGTATTTTAGAAAGAGAACTCTGGGGGCAATATGGCGGTTTGCTGGGGAGAGGAGGCAGGAATCAGAGAGTTTGGGTGGGATGCTAATTCCGATCCAAGGAAGGAAAATAAGGCCTGGAGCAAGCACTTGTCTGTCAAATCAGAAAGAAGGTGAAGGAAGAGGGAGCTTGAGGCAGTTTCCAGCTGGGATGATTGGGTGGATGATGAGGCATTTACCAGTGGAAGAAATTTAAAAAAAAAATGCAGGTATGAGAGTGAATAATTATCTATTAGTCAGGATCATGTAGATTATGCTACATGTAACAGGTAATCTCAAAATCTCACTGGCTTAACAAAACAGTGCTTTTTATAAAAAAAGATTTTATTTATTTATTTTTTTTAGAGGGTGAAGGGAGTGGAGGGGGGAGAGAGAGAGAGAGAGAAAAACATAAATGTGCAGTTGCTGGAGACCATGGCCTGCAACCCAGGCATGTGCCCTGACTGGGAATTGAACCTGCAATGCTTTGGTTCACAGCCCGAGCTCAATCCACTGAGCTACACCAGCCAGGGCCAAAACAGTGCTTTGTTTTCTCACTCATATTACAAATCCCATGTGGCCAAGAGGGGTCTCTGCTCCATGCCACCACCCAGGGAGCCAAGGTGACAGAGGCTCCACCGTCTGGGAGCTGCGCCATTTAGAACACACGGCTACTTCAGGCACCTCCTCAGTTACACAGGAAGAGGAAGGAGATGCTAGACTGTTGTGTGGGGACTTTTTACTGCTCCATCCCAGTGACAACACGCTCACAGTTCATCAGCCAGAACCAGCCTCGTGGCCTCTCCTAACTACAGAGGGTTGACAAGTGCAAGGGCGCCGTGGCATGCTTAGTGGACGTGATGGTCTCTGCCACAGGGAGGTAATAAACGCAGTTCTGAACGCATTTACTTTGAGGAGGAGGTGATACCCAGTGGGCCGTCGGAAATGTTCAGATGAGAGTCGGGGACTTGAGATGTAGGTCGGGAACGTGAGCACTGTTCTGGTCCTTGCCTGCCGGAGGACTGACGCTCCAGACAGGGGGAGAAACAGACACAAACAGCTATTACCTACAAGACGTCAGGTTATGTGCTATTTGGTTACCAGCAAAGTGCCATGAGAAGAAAGATGGAGGCGCAGTGAATCCCATGAGCGTGGGTAGGAGTCCAGTCCCATAAGCAAAGAGCAGTGACAGAGGACCTGTCCGTGGAGTGGTACCCCCATACAGGTACAGAAAACATGGAAGCAGCGAAGGATGGCGGATTTGGGCAGAGGACACAAGGCACAGGAGGTAAGTCTAGAAGGGTGGGCAGACTGGGGGCAGATAGTGGAAAATCAGCGTAGACTTCGGGAAGGGGCAGGTAGACGTGTAAAGAATGTGTGGGTAAATTGTTTCCATTACTTTCCTACCAGATTCCATACACATACGTGTGTGTACACACACACACACCTGTGGCTGCCCAGATCCCAGTTCTATGCCTCAGCCCTAGACTCTACGTGATTTACCGCTGTTACCAACTAGGCAATTTACCTAAATTTCTAACCACACATGACTCTCCTTCCTTCCTTCCTTCCTTCCTTCCTTCCTTCCTTTCTTCCTTCTTCCTTCCTGCCTTCCTTTCTTTCTATTTCCTTTTTTTCTTTCTCCTTTCTTGTTGAGATATAACAGAGTAAAATGCATGAAGTGTATTTTCAGTCCAGATCAGTGAATTTTTTCCCTGTGTCTACATTCATGTAAACACCACGTCCATGAAGATACAGGACACTTCCTTCCTGCCGTCTTCCCGTGAACACTGGCCTGGAGGTAGCCACTCTTCTGACTCCTATCACTGCCGATTAAGTTTGCCTGTGCTAGAACCTCTGGAAATGGAATAATATAATATGCCCTTGTTCGTATCTCATGTCTGTGAGACCCATCCACCTGGACGGGTCCTGGCCACATCCTGAGCTGCTCCACTTTGAAACCAACTTCTCTTCCTTCTTGTCCTCTCTCCCTTTCGTTCCTCCACCAGGCACAGGTGCCCGGGAAACAGCAGAGAGCACTCGGGCTAAACCCCAGCTGCATGGGCCACGGACGACTTCCTGGAGGACACAGCTAAGCTGAGCTCCGAAAAATAGAGTGTTGTGAGCCTGTGTTGCTTGTGCAGAAATGGCAAGGCAAGAGAGAAAGTGGTGCTTTCAGGGAACTGCAAGAAGTTCAACGTTCTGCTCCGCCGGAACACAGAGTGCAAAGTGGGAAGAGATGAGGCCGCAGGGCCAGGCAGGGCAGAGGGTGAAGGACCCTGTAACCTCCATTAAGGCGTTCACACTTCATCCTGGGGGCCCTGGGCCATCGTGGAGGGGGTTCCAGTAGATAAGTGAGTCAGCGAGGATTTGGCTTATTTTATATATCATTACATTTTCTTATAACGTGAAACTTTTAAAAAAATATTTTATTTACTTTTAAAGAGGGAAGGGAGGGAGAAAGAGAAAGAGAGAGAAACATCAATGTGCAGTTGCTGGGGGCTGTGGCCTGCAACCCAGGCATGTGCCCTGACTGGGAATCGAACCTGTGATGCTTTGGTTTGCAGCCCACGCTCAATCCACTGAGCTACGCCAGCCAGGGCTTATATCACTACATTTAATTGTGAGTCTACTTTAAGAGATGGTTGAGTTTTTAGAAAGGTACACATGTGGTAAGAAAGGGCACATCATGAATCACAGTCTCCTTGGTCCTCCTGTCCCCACCCACCAGCTCCCTGTACATGTGGCTTTTAGAATGACGACTCCGGTGCTTGCTTCGGCCGCTTAAAGACTAAAAAAAAAAAAAAGGCAAAGTAGAACAATCACTCAGGCTGCAGCGTGGAAAGCAGCATGGTGGTGAAGCAAGAGTGGAAACAGGAGACTTGTTAGAAAGCCAGTGAGCACTCCAGGTAAGAGAGGATGGCAGCCACCCAGGGGGGAAGATCTCAGAGTCATCAAGGAAGCAGAAACACTAGAACTTGGGCACCGATTAGCCCTGGGGCATGAAAGAGAAAGGGGTTAAGGATGCCATCTCAGGGAGGACAGTGCCCTTTGGGGAGCCAAGGGGGAACCGGAGTGGAGAGAATGTGGCGGATGGCCTACAAAACTAGCCACCAGCAAAGCCTTCCCTGTCCTTGCGTCCGTTTCTCTCTCTGTTTTCGAATCTGGGCGGCCTTGTGACTTGCTCTAACGAATAGGATGCAACAAGATCGATGTCCTACAGCTCAGGTCTGGGCCTTAAGAGGCCTGGCCCAGCTTCCACTTGTGCCCTCTTGGAAGCCAGCCACCACGTAGAGAAGCAAGAGAGGCACGCTCTGGAGGACGACGAGAGACTCTGCCCAGAAAGGGAGGCCCAGCCAGCCCCCGGCTCTTGCAGCCGTGCCCTGGGAGGCGCCAGACTCTTGAACGCTCCAGGACCCGCAGAGCTGCCCGGGCTTCAGCCAACACCACAGGGAGCGGAGGCAAGCTGTCCACACCAAACGCTGCCCAAACCGCAGAATCATGAGCGAGTGAAAGACTGTTCTTATTTTAGGCCGCTCAGGTTTGGGGTGGACTGTTTCTCAACACGCAAGCAAAGGAGATAGGGAGGAGTGAAGAGGAGATGCTGGAAGTTCAGTTTCTTGCCCGTCTCTGCCTTAGAGATCCATGCCAGGGACTGCTGCTTTTCTGTTTTTCAGTTCTCAAGTCCCCACTCTCTCTGCTGAACACCTGCATCTTCGCAACCCAGAGCTGCTTCCGCCTGGGAGGTTCGGGTGTCCTTGTCTGCTGTTTTTGCAGCGCCCACATCAAGCTCTGAAATCCGATTGCAAGTTGGTTTCTGTTTCCTTGAGTCAGCCTGGGGTTGGCTGGTTCCAGTTCTACCTACCTCCTGTCCTAGGGAAGGAATTTTTATAATTTCTTTCTGACCTCATAGCCCTGGGGGAAATGTTATTTCTTTGAATTCCTCAGTTTCTAATTCAGGACTGAAGATAAAGTAGCTGTTCGCTAAGTGCTAAATGAATAACGAAGAAGGTTCGCTTGGAGAAAATCCTCGATTGAGTCCGTTTCCTAAGTTCCTGCCGCCAGCCAAAACCCTTTTGTTTCTCCATTTATGCAAGGAGAAGGCCTCACTTCGCCCTCTCTCTCCAGCTCCTGAACGGGTCTGTAGCTGGGGGTGGAGCACAGGGTGGAGATATACGGTAATGATGAGTTCAAGGGCACAGACACCAGCAGAGTGCCATCCCCCACCCCCGGGCCTCCATGGAGAAATGGCAGGGCCCACGAGGAAGCGAGTGATGCGCCATGGGCAGGGGATTGACCAGGCGAAGACCAGAAAGGTCTGTATGTATTCTTCTGCAGGGGCCTGGGGTCGGGGAGAGGGTGTGTCTTTGCTGCATGTACATGAAGGAACTGGGGTGATGACCCTCTTCTCCCCGAACACCGGACTGCCGTCGAGAACTCAGCCAACTGGGAGAATCCGGTGTTATTTGACTCTATATCTAGAGTTCTCAGCCTCCCCACGAAGTGGGGTTCCCTAGGGCAGGGACCACCCGCCTTCCTCAGAATTGCCCCTCCAGAGCCAGGAGACCTGGCGACGCTCCTCGAAGTTCCTGTTGACCGCTCTTTGTGACCTGCCCGGAGTCCGTTTCCCCCCTGTGCCCCCAAACCAGCTCTGCTCACAGTGGAATCTAAGAAGGGCCTCAGGGGAGGCTAGCCCAGCCTTCTCATCTCAGGAGAAGGAAACCAAGGCCCAGGTCAGGGAAGTCACTTGTCCAAAGTCCCCAGCTGGTTCATGAGGCCAGAACCCACATTTCCAAACTCCCGAGTAGGTGCCCTGTGCTGCCGACCCAGCCTGCTGCAGGGCTGGGCCTCACCGCCTCCCTGTGCTCTTCCCAGCGCCTCTCGAACATGCGCCCATGGCAGGGGCAGTGCCAGCAGGGCGGTGGGGGGACAGGCCGCCAGCAGAGCGGTGGGGGGACGGGCCACCAGCAGGCAGCCTTTCCTGGTGAGTGTGGGACTTGCAGGATCTCTGAACACCAGAGGCTGGTGTGCGTGTGTTCACACACGCTCATCCGCTTCCCGACACCATCAAGAGGCGCCCCTTAACACTACAGCCCATGCTGGGGCACCGAGACTCAGGAGCACACAGACAGCCACACACACCTCTGCTAGAGTTACCTACACTCCCCAGCAGCCCCCGCCCCGACAAAGGGACCCCGGCACACACACAGGCCCCAGGACCCCTCAGGGCCTGGCCTCAGCCCTCGGTGTCCCACAAAACTAGCCTAACTGGTGGCGCCTGGGCAAGCACACCTGAGTGACCCGTCCTGGCCCTTGATCCAGAGTTGGAAAAGGGAAGACAGACAGGTTCGGAGCTGTCATCACCGCAGCGCACCTTTGTCCTCTCGGGGCTCCTGCCGCTGGGCCCCCACCCAGTGTCTGTCCCTGAGTGGGTGATGGGAGGGTGAGGACCCCACTTATTTCCTGTTCCGTTGCCACCCCCTCCCCCTGCTTGATGCGAATCTGTATGAATGAAGCTCCCGCCAGGGTGCAGATTCCGTCCGAGACACAGCTGGGCCTCTCACAACACGAGGGGAGAAGTTTATCTTTCCTCCCACGTCGGTCCTGTCACCTCCTCCCAGGCACTGCCAGCCAAGGGCACTGCCTGGTGAGACAAATTAGGGAAGGCTGAACCGGGCCCTGGTTCCTCCTGCTAGGAGTGTGAGTGGTGCTGGTGGAGGGCCGGGCGGTGGAGCAGTGGGGGGGTGGGGGGTGGGGAGAGGCAGGTAGGGCAGGAACTGAGATGCCCCTCCTGAGTTTGCTCACCTTCTCCCTTCTACTCTCCTCCCCGACCCTACACCACCCCCAGCTCCAGCCATCCCAATGCCCCCCCACCTCTGGAAAAGCTGAATTGGGATTCGATCCCCAGGCAGTTGCCCGAGTTCCAGGAGTTCCGGAGCAGCTGTCCCAGGCTTGGGGGGGAGGGGGCCAGGAATGCTGGGGCTGAGGCCTGGGCCGCCCCAGACAGAGCCGGCTCTGAATTCTGGGAATGTTTGTGCAGCTGGAGCCCATTAGGGGAGGGAGCCGGGGCCGCTTATTAATCCCAGCCTTGTTCCCCGGGAGGGGCCAGGGCCCTGCACAGGAGTGGAGGGGCCCGGGGCTCTGCTACGGGAGGCCAGGCCGCAGCCCTTAGCCCCCTGCTTGGTTGAGTCTCAGACAGGAGCTTGGAGATCTTGGGGCCCTGCACCTTGCTTGCATGGTGCATGCATGTGGGGGGAGGCGGGGGTGTGGGCACATGTCGGGAGCCCATAGGGGCACAGTGAGGTTTGACAGAAGTGCTCCTACCTGGGGAGACAGGAGGCACACAGTGGGCCTGGGAGGGGATGCTGGGTACCGCTCGGGGACTCTCACCTGTCTCCACCCCCACCCCTGCTGGCAAACTAGCTAGAAGGAGAGGAGGAGGAGGGGAGGGGTTCCTGTTGCCTCAAGTGCTTGAATACGTGCACAGAGAGGGCTGAGGAGCGAGCATGGGGGCCACCGCATAGGTCACATCCTGCAGCGGCAACAAGGGACACCATTAACAGAGACTCTCATGTGAGGAGCACCCCCTGAGCTGGTACAGGGCGCGGCCTGCTCAGCCACATGCAGGGCCACGGGTGTGGAGGGTCTGGCAGCCTGGGCTGGCTCCCAGCTAGCACCGCTATAGGATGCGGTACCAAGGGTGGTGCACTGAAGCAAAAAAAAGGGGGCCCGGCATGGTGTTTCAGCTCCACTGACTCGCTGTGGGGTCTTGGGCACATTTCTTAACCTCGCTGAGCCTTACTTCCTTTCCCCACACGTCGGGATGGGGCCTGTCCCATGCCGCTTACAAGGCTGTTGTACTGAGGGTGCTCCTTCATCTGTCTGTGTATCCATCCATCCATCTATCCATCCACCCCACAGACTTGAAATGGCTACTGTATGCCATCAGCTCTGCTGGGTACTGGGTCCACGGAAGTGAGTAAGGACCCTGACCATCAGGATGCGGTCCTTAACAGGGCAGGGTGGGGCAGGGCAGGGTGGGGTCTGCCACCTGCACAGATACAGTGTAAACGTGCAAAGTGCTCTAACTCTGCGTCATAGAGAGTGGAGAAGGAAACGCATCCTGTTACACGTGTGTTCTTGGGTGGGTGACCCCTCTGTAGAGGCGCCCACTATCCTGTAAGGCCCAGAACAGTGTGGGAGGAGGTTGCAGGAGGGTCCTCAGGGACAGAGCCCAGGTTCTCTTGCTC